ACGGGGTGGAGGATTGCAGTTTTTGGATTTAGTTAGAAAGTTGTGACATGTTGTATTTCTTGTTTTGATTCGATGTCACAGCTGCATAAATTTGATTTTGTCTATTTTTGACTCTCAGAGGAATTTTATTCTAAAATGGGGAAAGGTGGCTGAGGTGGCCGTCACTGAATTCAGTTTGAAGGTGCTGTCGGATGTACCGGTTTCAGTAATTTCTGACGCTTATTGGAATTTTCACTAGCACCGTTGGAAAGGTGGCAATTTTTGGTTTCTGTTGGATAGTAATGGCCGCTTTTTTTCTTGCATTGATGCAATATTTTATTTTAATGAATCAGTTTTTATATGTATGTAATGATTAAAAGATATTTGTTGACTTGCACTTTGAAAGTTGGCGTAGGTGGCAATTTCTGTATTATGTTGAAGTTCTGACCTATCCTTATTTTTGCTTCCTTACGATCTCCCCCATATGTGAACTCGGTTTCAGAACCCAATTAGCTTTTTTCATCCAATGTAAATCCATCGGACATACCCTTATGGACATCCAATTGATATCATTCTCGGACATCCACTGCTTGACTAAATGTCTCGTTCAAGGATTGTCCTTGGACTTGTTCATTATATGGCTTTTGGATGTTCTTCTTTTGAATTCTTTGGGAAAGCTATCTGATGACCATCGTGGGATGCAGCATTAGCAATAACAAACCCCATACTCAGGTAGGAGTGTGGCGACATTTTTATGATAATTTAAATTTGTTGCCTGGGAGAAGAGTACTTTCTGAGATTACTAAGATACCAATCACTCACGTCCCTGGGAGGAAAAGATGAGAAGCGTTTATATGGAATGTCTGGTGTGACTGAGATGTCTCTCTCTTCTTCCTATTCTTACTTCTCATTCTTCTCAGTCTCAGACTTTTTCCCTTTGCTAAGGTTGTCATGAACCACAGAAGAATGGAATAGACTTCCTTTGCAAAGGGAACCACTCTCTCGCCATGCAATATGCAAAAATTGCCGGTAGTCTATTTTAGGTATCTTTCGTTTCTCAACAAATGAACTCATTGGAATGACTTCCTTCCTTCGGATTTTACATGGGAAATTATCTAGTAGAAAATGAGTGCTTTCGCAGAACAACTTATTAGCATTAAGGGAATTAGGAGACATACTGTTTTGGGTTCTTTGCACCTTGCTAATATTGTAGGAACTTCATGATTAATAATAAACTGCTAGATGTCAAGCCAGGTGCTGGGCCTCAACGTGGCAAGGACTACATTCAAGGACATCCATGGGTGGAATCGGAGAGGATGTCCTTGGAAGTTTCTTTTGCTGAACGTCCAATGGATGTCCATAGATGGAATGGCAACATCATTTCGTTCCTAATGTCGAACTCACGGAACGTTGGCGAAGTGCCGTTTTGAGATTTCATTCTTAACGTACCATTTCTTGCTTAGCTGCGACATCGTTCATGCAGCCGGTTTAAGTTGGTTTTATGCTTGCAAAAATTACCATTGTCGCCTATGATTCTTATGGTAGGTGGGGGTTTCAAAATTCGGTTTATGCGTGTGAGATGTTTTTTCTTGCTTAGATTCGACATCGTTGCTCTAAGAACTCGGTATCATTCGTTTGTGATTATTAGAATGATTTTCAGTCTCGTTCATGGATGATGCGATTTTTGGATTTTGTTGGAATATGTTCACAAATGCATTTTATAGGTTCGATGCGTTATCGTAGCTATGTGATTCCGGTCCCAGTTTTTTTTTAGATTTAGAAAGATTTTCGGTAGTTTATGTATCGGAAAATGTTCTCTCTCCTTTCAGGAAACCTGATTTTTTTGTGGCTATTTCTCCATTCAGTTTAAAGTAGTGACGAAGATCAGTTTCCTGCATGAATTGATTTCATACATCGATAATTTCAGTTTTGGCAGTTTTTCGATGTGTAGAAATTTAATGTGCCGATTTCTGAATTCCTTCGGAAGGGTAGTTGATTTAATTTGACAACGGTGGTTGATGAACCTGATTCCGGTTGGGGGGAATAAGAGAAAAGTTATCAGATGCCTGAGTCCATTTCAAGGGTATGTTTTTGTCCTGAGTTCGTTGGGCGGTGAGATTAAAAAAATGGTTAGCAGTAGCCAATGAACTTTGTGGGATATTGGCATTCCTGCTCGTTATAGCTCCCACACTCGTTTGAATTTTTGAGGCAATCCGTCAGTGACATCCTATTCCAGTTGGTTATAGTACTACTACTAATCCTTTTAACGCCATATTCCGCACCGAAAACTCCGTACTACCTCTAAGTCTTTATCTTTTACGATCGTGTATACCAGATTCGAATTTTTTTGTCTTCTGAGAGGCAATCGAGTACATTTTATCGTAGCTCTGAAAGGGCTGGATATCTTAACTTTTGTTTGTAGAGGAAGTCTTGGCAATGCTGCTAGTTTATCTCCCTTACCGTAACTTTTCCCCCTCTTGTATGCGTTATACTCATTAACTAAATTTCAGGTTTCTACCATACAGGGTGGGGCAAAAGTAGGTATTCAGTAGTAATTTTTTATATTTGTATTTACAGGTAGAGGATAATGACAGGGAACCTAACTTTAGAGCTACGAAAATGGCTGTTACAGACGTACTGGAAAAGTAATTAATAAAAAGTGATAGGGAATAAGGAATTAACAGCTAACTGTGCACCTACCTACTTTTGCACCACCCTGTGTCTAGAACATTGTTAGAATTAGCGTCAGACACGATCGGCTATATATACGAAGGGAAGGGTGCAAAAGTAGTGCCAATTCTTCTCTACGGTAGTGTACACATGTATTACAGCACAGAAACAGGTACTCAGGCTCAGGCGATCGTAGAAAGAGTTTAGGACTATGTGGCCATAGTTTAGGACTATGTGGAAAAGTAACAAGTGTGGCAGTGAGGTAAAAAAGTGAAAAGTAACAAGTGTGGCACTCACTGCCACACTTGTTACCTTTCCAAATAGTCTAAAGTTATTCTAAATTGTTATTCCGAAACTGCCACTCCTTTTGCACCCCCCCCCCCCACCCCCCTTGCACCCACGCATGTTTTTTTTTAAATTATCCGAAAATTACCCCGTCCCACAGGAACGACTGACCACTCCGTACCGAATGGGTCCAGTACGGTCCTAATAATTCAGTTAAGTAACTCAAAAACAAACGAGTGAATAGATCTGAGAGAGCGCGCAAAAAGCATTGCAGATAAGTAGCATATTGGCAGAGCTAGGTTTTCACCAAAGGGAGGTAGAATTTCTCTATCCTCCCCCTAACGTGGCCAGAACAGAAAAATCTTTCTCCCGGGGAAAGGGGGGTGCAAATATAAAATTTGGAGGGCTTCAGCTTCCAATACCCTGCCACTGCTAAGCCACTGCAAAAGCACATACTATGGGAAATCATGCGGAAAAAGCAGAGTTCACCGCTCAACTTCAACGTCACGGAAACACCAGTGGAAGTCATACGACTGGCGAAGACTTAAACCTGATGATCGAGCGCGATGAAACTAAAAGAAGTGTGGCATCTTTTTTCAAGTTCAAGTTTGAAATTTCAGTGCACAGTTAATTCCTAAAAACGTTTATTCCAAACTGTGAACATCAACCCTGTTTGAATGCCGGTGACATCGAGATTGAAAGGATGTCTAATCTCGAGTTGAAGGAAAAGCATGTCTTAGAAGCGGAAACCAGACGATGAATTATCTGGTGGAGTCAACGAGACACGCGTGTTACGTTGAGGGATCCCTTTGAGTCGAATCCCCGAACGAGTCGATACCCCCGTTTCCGCTGCCACGAAGCACGCCAAACTTAATCTAAGTCTAAATTTAAATGTAAATCTTAGGCTAAATATTAGTCTAAATCTAAACCTAAACCGGAGTGGACCTCATTTTTCTTGCCTCTCATCATCTAGCGAGGGTGAAAATGGAAACTAAAGAAGAGAGAATTTTTTGACGCGATCCTGAACCAAACTGCAAGGACCTTATATGATTTTTGAGAACTATCAGAGATCGGCTCAATCCTATTGAATTGTTCAAAAGGGACGAATTCCGAAGGTTTCGTCTTTCCGCGGATGTCGTCGCCGACTCGGTGCGGACAAATGAGCAGCAGCTGGCACTACTGTATACTCATCGTTCTCTTTCCAAGTGCAACCACACCGCCTTTAAACGTGTTTAAATCGTGGATGGTCATCATCATGGAAGTTAATCTGATTTTCGGTGGTGTATGTCAAAGATAAACACATTCGTAGACGTGTTTTAGTAAACGTGTTCATCTCGTCTTTAAACTAATCTGATTCCTCAATAGGTGCATGTCACCCTTAGACTAAGATTTAGCCTAAGATTAGATTTAGATTTAGACTTACCTCGTAAATTGAGTTTAGCAGAGGCGAGGAACAAACCCCAGGTCAATATTCTGTACTGTACATAGCAAGATTTTCCTTTATTGGGCTGAGATAGGTACCTATATTAGCCTAATACTGAATGCGCAACATTTGCCATTTCGGCCGATGAGTGAGAGATGTATGACACCAATACGTGGGGAGTGACATGGAACTCTCGTGCGTTTGTATGATGTATGGCAAAAAAAGACAAACGATTTGAGAACTCCATATCTCGGGGATGTTTTAATCAAATCTCACTAAATTTGGTGGGAATGTAGTTTGCGTCTTTCCTTTATATTTTGAAACGCTTGTCCAAACCCTACGGAAAGAAAGAATCTGGTGAGGCTCCTAATTCAAAATTTTGCCGATTGTTGACAGTCGTACTTATTGAAAACGACAAAATAAATGCTCTCCGGAGCGTTTGGCCTTGGAATCCTGCGGGCTCGTGGAACATTCAATGCAGTAAAGAAATGAGAGAGAGAAACTTTTTCTTCTGCGGGCATGATGGACCGTCACAGGACGAGGCAGCGCGTCACTTAGAGGAAATCAGCTACATCCAACACGGTACGGTGCTGGAAGCGCCTTTCACTGTATTATGAGCAGTTCATCCAGAAAGACGCCCTCGATCGAGTACATGTGCCCCAAACGAAACGTTTCCGCGACGCACTCTCCCGCTCTCATCAAGCACATCTTATACGCGATGATCATACGACGAGTGATGGATATCAGGAGAGGCTGCCAACTCGTTTTATTCCGGACTTCTTGAATACCCTCATTTACCATGCCGTCTCGAAGAGCCGAGGTTCATACGGTGGATGCAGAAATGAAGGAATGCGATCGTCCTAATCCTATTATTCCTACGTCGTCCCTTCCAAAACAGAAGAAAAATAAAAAGGGATATCGATAAGACTCGTTCGGACGGATCGATTGCTTCTCGACTAGGTTTCGTTGGATCCGGTGGTTTCCTCCGGAGGTCCTTGCGTCAGCTGGATTGGGCCGACGGGAAGTTCCGTGACGTCACCCACGCCTTCCTCAGCCAGCTTCTCCTCTGGCGACACTCCCTTGTTCACTTCGTCCATGTCGCTCCGTAGGGCGTTGAACTGGTCTCCGAGGGCTTTTTTCATCTGGTTGAATTCGTCTACAACCAAGGACATCCGACCGAGCAGGTAATTCAAATTGTCCTCCACGTCCGCCATCCGTTCCATCACCATCCCGACCTACGATACGAGGAGAAACAAAATGAAAATGGCACTAATTACTTCTAGTCAACGTCGGGGGATCATTCGACTGCCGATGATCGATCGGGCGGGCGGGATTTCCTCACCTTCCATCTAATATACAGGGTATATAGACGATCGTGACTGACTGACCGACGCTAATTCTAACCATGTTCTAGAAAGGTTAGAAATCTGAAACTTGGTACACATGTAATCTGACACTTGGTACACATGTACCTTTTGGGATGCAGAGTTCAGGAAAAATCCCACTTTGGAGGTACATCCCCTGGGGGTACAAATTTTGGGGGAAAACGTTTTTCTTAAATATATTTTGTGACAGATGAGGATGGCATTCAGAGAGTCAACTGGCTATATTGGGTTCGGTGGTGTAGTAGTAGCATATCTGCCTGGCAATCAGAAGGTCCAGGTTCAATTCCTTGGTTTCCTTTTGGCTTTTTTTGCCTTCCATGTCCTGTTACTCAATCCCCCTCCATAAAATCATTTTTGCTTAAGTGAAACGGAGAGACATGGAAAGCTGAAACTTTGCAGGAATGTGACTACTAAGAAAAGGAGTTAAAGAAAAATGTTAAGTCTCAATACATCCCCAGTGGAATTTTTTCGAGGGGCGATGCTTTAGAAAAAATTGTTTCGTGCCGAATTGGACAGAAATGGAAAGGTGAAACTTGGCACACGTATAAGTGACATGATATTACTGAGTTGAGGGAGTATTCAGCTTTCATGGTGCATCCCCTCCGGGCATAGCTTTTGGGTGGGTCGGCTTTTCCAAACCAATCGGTAAAAATGGTACTTTTCGGTTAAAACGCCTGAGGGCACATATTTTCCAAAAGCTGTATTTTCCCAAATTTTCTGATCCAGCAAAACGGAGGGCGCAATGAAGTTTAAACTTGGCAGAGAAGTACCTGATGTACAGCTGAGTAAAGAAAAAATTCGAATTTTCTTTCGTATAGACGATCGTGAGTAGCTGACTTACTGACATAAGTTGCTATTCACATGTTGAGTTCCGGAAAAATTCTACTTTGCTGATACATGCCATAGGGGCACAATTTTTCGGGGAACACATTTTCAAATAGCTCTCTTTGCTTCAATCAAACGGAGACACATGAGAAGCTGAAACTTGGCAAGAACGTGACTGCTGAAGCACTGAGCTCAAATGTCAAATTTCCAAATATTTTTTTGGGGGGGGGCATTTTTTATTAGGGAAGTAACGTTTTCAAGGATTTTTCATATCCTTGCGAATCGGGCAGAAATAGAAAAGTAGCTTCTGGCGCACGCATAACGGTTCAACTCTTGGTGTGTCTCCTCAGGGCACAGCTTTTGGTTGGGTCGCTTTTCCAAATACGATTTTCTGCGCCAGCAAAAAAGGAAATGTACAATGCTGAAACTGGGTGGCCTGGAGTTCCCTGAGTCTACATTTTAGAAGGAAAAAAATTTCCGTTAAAACCCATCAGTGCACTTTTTTCAGTCACATTTTCCTGAATTTTTTTTTATCCAACGAAACAGAGACAGAAAATTTAAACTTCCCTCAGAAGTACCTGTTTGAATCCTGAGTACAAAGGTAATGGAGCGCCGAAGGCGCGACCATAGCGAGTTTGTTTGCCCGAAGGGCAAACAAACTCGCTAGTTTCAGATATACCAGACCAAGGTGGTGCAAACGTCAGGAAACAGGAACTTTTGGGGTATTTATTTTTCAAAGTGACTGCTTGATGGTAGCTCATATCCGTATCTCTTTTTCGTTAAATTGGCATGCAAAAGTTGAAGTCCAGTGAATAGTGCTCCCGCTGCGTCCACTAAAATTACTGAAAATGAACGACTGTTACTCACCTGGAACAAGTATGGCAAATTTGGTGATAATGTGTCATTTCCATTGCTATTCATGTTGATGACCTCCGTGTTTGAGTGTACACAATTTTGCCATAATTTGACGGCCGACATTTGGAAGTGGTTTTTGACGGAGTGTTGTGAAATAACCTAAGCCGAAAAACGAGTGGAGTTAGTGATGATTTCGCTAGACAGATAACCGTTTTTGACTAACTAGTATGCTTACCATGAAAGACACCCAGATAGACCAAGACTGTCGATCCATTGCATTTCAGATTTGATAGCGAAATTCCATGAAAACGGCAGTGTTCTCGATGCATGGAAAGGGAAATGGGCACAATAGGTGAAGCCATTCAAACGGCACTTCGGGCCCTAGCGTCCATATAGCCGCAACAATCAACGCGAGAGATTATAAGAGTTGTGAGCATCAAAGGTTAGACAGAAAGGAAAATTAATTTCCCCTAAAACTTCTATTTTCCTTGACTTTTACCCCACCCTGTATATGGACATGTATCAACTTCAGATTATCAAGTAATCTTACGAATCCAGTGCAATGTGCCTGCTTCTAGTGTTGTTGACAACCTCCTTGTAACGGTCCCAAATGACACAACTTAAAGTACCCTCCACTGTTTAAAAGCACCCTGTTTTCGATTCTCAGGAGGCAGCCGTCACCTGCACGACTCTGCAGATCAAGCAGGGAGTTCTCTCTCCCTCTCTCTCTTTTTCTACCCTTTTAATTCTGCCAGTCTGCGGATCCGGACGATTCCTTCAGGACTCAGCTGATCCGTTTCCACTCGTGGATCCAAAGGCTTAAGAGGCGCTGCTCCTTTGCGAGTAAACAGCTGCCATTCTCTCCGTGGATACCAGTTGAACCCTGTTGGCATCAAAGTACGCGCCACCTGTTCGCTTTGATCAACGATCGAATCTCGAGCCAGGATGTAGTGGCCTGTGACCTACCACAACACTTCGGGTATGAGCTAAGACCTCCCTAGGTGGTGTCTCACACTACGCTGCAGCGACAACACTGCTTGATGACATGACAGGCATATTGGGGGGAGGGGGGGAGAAGGCGGGTCTTTCCGGACTCAACGCTACCCCCTCACCTTCCACCAATACGCCCCCAATATGCCTGTCAGTGTCACTGAACGGGAAGTTCATGGGTAGACTCATGTACAGTACATATTGGGGTATACAGGGTTGTGCAAAAGTTCCCGTACACTTTGATTAGCGCTTCGATACTCTTTAGGCGTCATAGCTCCAGAGGAAAAAATTCAAATAAAGACTGAAATTTACTATAATGAAAACATTTCGTATCAAAAATGTCCGTAGAATTTAAAAAAAAACACATATCAGAATCGCCAAAAATCCGTTGATTAGTGAAGAAATTAGATTTTCAAAGTGTACGGGAACTTTTGCACGACCCTGTATAGAGGCGCGTTGCTCTATTGGCAACAGTAGTTGCCACTAGAGGTGTGCGTGAGTCCTGCTTCACGCGTGATTCACACGGGACTCAAGACCTTTTTCGTGAGTCGTTACGCGCACAGAGGTTCGGAGAATGCCTTTATCGTGATCGAGAACAGAATTCACTTGCGCGTGATCGTGAGTATTTTTTTTTTAATCTCTCTCTCTCTCTCCCTCTTTTTTTTTTTAGACTGCTAGATTTCCAATATCCCTCTTCGAGGATCGAACGTCGAAAGTTCCATATTCTCATGCAAGCGTTTCCTGCGGCGAAAGAAAAAAAGATATACCAAAAAATTGCTCTATTTCCCGTACATTCGTTGTCCGAGAGTTAATTCCCTCAGTTCGGCCGTGACATGGCCTTGTATCACTCCCATCTGACTGCATTCTTGTGGAATTTGTGGGATAGGTATTTAGGACTTAGGAAAAAAAGGTTTAAAAGAGGATAGTAGTTCTAGCTTGTATAAGGATGGAACTACTTCAGCAAGTTATTTCTCTTTGTTATTCAAAAAAAGCTCTTATCGTACTGTAGATCGATTCCTTGAAATCGGATTAGCAATGGAAGCGGGTTCAGATTGAGTTTCTAAGTCAAAAATAGAGCGATTGCTGAGAGATAACTCAGAGCGAGCTACTGTAGAATTCCATGAGAAAGGCAAGAGCGATATTCGGAAGACTTTCAAACTCATTTTCGTGGATGGGAAATCGGCAAAACTTTGTGCAGTGTGAACAGTGCAGTTCTGTTATTGCATACTCAGGGAAGACAGGAACTGGCGGAGTAACTCGTCACGCATGCAGCCGAAAGCAACGCGACCTAAAACCAGCCACAGATCAATGTCCCCTCCATGAAGCGGAAGATTCCCGCAGCCAGGTTGCAGAAAGTCAAGAAAGTGACAGCGACCTTCATCGCTAAAGATCTCCGACCTTTTGATGTAGTTGATGGCGGTGGCGTATTTCAGCTGAGGGGTCAGGGGGGGCAGGGCAACAGCGCGGGGGCGCCTAACCCCACCCGAGCGATACCAGTGTGTTTAATTTACGCTTGCAAAGATCGTGCGTGTTCGTGATTCTCGAGTAATATTGAATCTCGGGTTTACGTGAAAGTGAGTGACGACACGGTTTTTCTCTCGTGATCGTGAGTCAAAAATCACTCACGCGCACACCTCTAAAGCCGAGATATTTACTCGATCATTAGTAGTGAGGAGAGCGTAGAGAGCGTAGGCTCTAAGAACAGGGCATTTTGCAAGATCAAGCTCAAGAGCTTTTCGCATGCATCCGACTGTTCCCATGGCATTTGTAAGATCCTAAATACGTATGCTCCTGTAATCAACCTTCGTGTTCCGTGCCATTTCGTATTGCATACTTTTGTCTGAGTAAAACGTACGTTTAACATGTAGCATCTCCCACTCCCGTGGTACTACAGGTTTGAATGAACGTATCAAAGGCTTATTCATTCTGCTTCTTTTGAATCGAATCAAACGGGACGCGCCTTTCTTAGATCGAACACGGATTGAACTCCAATCAAACTCATTCACAGATGTTTTTCGATCATTTGCTGTCAAGACGCCCCCCTCACCGCTAGCAGTACGGAACCAAAAAAAAATACTACCCTACAGAGGGCAATCCGGCATTTGGTTTCATGGAACCCCCTCGTCGTATGCACATAGAGGGTAGGATTTCGAATAGGATTCCAAAGGATGCGAAAACGAGGAAAACAGACCTGATTGTTCATTCGACCGACTTTGTCCAGGCTGCCATTCACGTAGGTCTTGGTCTGGTTTTCCACAGTCATCAGGACGTCCTGACTGAGGGAGAGTTGATTATAGAGGACTCCGATCTGCCTCCAGACTTGCTTGATCTCTCCGTCTAAGCCCTGAGTGACCTCTCTCAGCTCCTGGCTCTGATTCCCGAGGATCCACGTCCGCGTCTCCACGATCTCCTTCGAGAGAGATTCGTCGAGTCGGGCGCTCTGGGTCTTCACCGCGTCTCCCACTTCCTGCAGGATCTGCTGGATCCCGTATTCCAATCTCTTCTTCGTGGACAGGACCAAATCGGCAGAGTCCAGCATGACCTGTTCCAATTTGCCGAGACCCCCGATCTCGGCTGCGAGTTCCTCGTAACCCCGGCCGACGGTCTCACGAAGCTCCGTCACCGATCCCGTGGACGAGTCCAATTCTGCGATCAGTCTGGAATTCCCCGTCTCGACTGCCTGGTTGAGCTGGAGCATCTGTTGCAAAGAATTTCGGCTTAGTTCTTCGCTGACCCCCAATTCCTTGCCGATGTCATCCAGCCGATAGAGAGTCTCGTTCATGAATCCCTCGACGTCGGAGTCTTTGTAGGACTTCTCCATTCTTTCCAAAATGATCTTGGACGCTGAACCGTCAGCCCTGGCCGCGGCCATGCCTTGTTCCTGACTCCGGAACCCTTTGCTCACGGTCTCGTTCAGGTCTCTGAGGGCTTCCACGACGAGCTGCATCCCCGTGGATCTCTTCTCTTCCTTCTCCGGATTCAAATCCAACTGCTCCGACATCAACTTGATCCCATCTCGGAACAAGTTCAAGGAGGTTTCCGTTTCCTTCAGATTTTTCTCCCATTGAGCTTCCAGATCCTTCATCTTGTCGCATCCCGAAGATTCGAGCGCAGTTTCAGACTTTCTTTCGATCCTTCGGAGACGCTTGATGATCTCACCGTTGGACTCGGCCACTTCCTGGATCTGATCGATCCGCCCGGAAACGAGTTGTACGAGGGATGCGATCGTATCGCTGATCTTCATCAGTTGTTCCCTCTCGTGCTGATTTTCCTGCAATGCAAATCACTGCATACGTTCATCTTTCGTCTCGAGATCCAAACCTCTTCGCCTTGCTTCTATTACGGAGCACGGACTAAAGAGTTCGCAGTCTCGTTTTACTGCATCGATTTCAGTTAAAAGGAAGGAAGAAGATGGACATACTTGTTCCATGAGCTTCTCCATTTTGGCAATGCGGACGTCCATTCGACCGAGCTGAACGGCGATGTTCTCCATGTTCTTGTCAGCTCCAGCCCTCGCTCCATCGAGGCGACGGAGGCTTTGCAGCGTTTGTTCCCCAACGTGATTAGAGCGATACTCATGCCTCTGTAGTTTATCTCCCAGGGCGAGGAGAGAGCCCTGCATCGACAATATAGCTTCCTTGATGTTCTCGTTCCTGCCGAGCATACGATTCCATGTACATCCATGCATGCACGAAACAACGAATTTGTGAACCTAACAGTCATTTCTAAACTTTACACGACCGACAGGCAAGTAAATCACGTTCTATCATTGGTGATGTAGGAAACCCCCCACCCGTGCAATTGTTTTAATCCAATTAAAACGACATCATTTTGGTGATTGCATGAACCAAATTCAGATTCGTAAAGTTTTATCCATGGGCACTAACACTCCAAAATTCCAGCTCTATCCAGATGGCTGATATAAAAGATTTAATGGGACTCGCTTGCTTGAAAATAGTGGAAAGGGAAATTAAACTCGAATTGCCATGCTTTATTACTTGCCAGAATATTGTGCAGGATAATTACCTTTCAATCGCCTACGGAATGACTGTGAGACGTTTCCGCCGTCAGGGAATATCATTATGAAAGTTTGCGTTGTCAAATGTTCAAATATTTGGATTGAATTGAATTGAATATGGCTGAAGCAATTTTCCTCTCCTTGAATAATGATCCATACATTTCTAAGAAGGACGGAGCGGTGACTGCCTCGAGGATGGGTGTCGGTAGTAACAGAAGCAGCATAGCTGAAGTGGAAGGAAGAAGCTTTTGTGGGCCTTCCTACTATCAACTGCGCTATGAGCATCCGTTATGTTGATTTCTACAGATGGAAGAAAGGAACTCACGAAGCTCCTTGGCCACCGCGTTGAGCCTTCGCTCGAGCGGATGAGGAAGAAAATAGAATCCCCGAGGAAAATAGGAAGACGAGAAGAAGGCAGGGAATGGAAGGAGTGCACATGATGAGGAAGACTTCTGCCTCTACACTGAGGCTAACAGATAAACAAGAGGAGGCTTGGGGTCTTCGTCTGTGTCCGTGTCATACGACACCATCCCGTGGGATGTTAGGGAGGCTTCTTCCTCCTCTTGCATGTGTAGGTAAAGCCCACGCCACATATACCTAATTTTAGACTAAACTTCCCCGAGGTCGATGGCTCCAAATAACTGCTTCCAGATGGACGATAGAACCGAGGAAACCCTTTGTTGGATGATGCCTGATATCCTTTCTCGAGACTCGACAAGGACGAGATCTTGATCCGCCCTCGATCTCATTTCCATTCACCTCCTTCGTGAGCACGCTACCCCTTTGAACATTCGAGCAAGCAAGCCGAGAGAGAGGAGGCCGTCAGATTGGCAACGTCATGTGACGATGTGGGTGCGTCCTCGTTCCTTAACGTGTGAAGGAACGAATGGATGCTCTCCCGTTACCGCAGATTCCTGGGGTGTTAGGCACTATCGTGTTTGTGCTATACCCAATCGACATCGCCTACGACGACGGTTTTTAGTTGTAAATTGAGAACAAAGAGGAAAGCACCTCTGTAACTTGAGTCCAGGACTATTAATTACGACATTATCGTGCAGTACAACTTCGTTTCAGCTCTTATTTGAGCTATGTGAATCGATTGAAATGACCAGCTTGGCTCTTAGACAGTGAAAGCTTTCGTTGCAGTCGGCAAGAAAGTCATTTATCTCGTGTTCCAGTCTTCTTGGAGTCGAGTCCTGAGTGCTCATGGCTCTGTTCTTGAGTTTATGTGAAAAAAAATTTTTATTTTGCACTCCCTCCCCCATCCCACTCTAGCCCTACATCAGTGAGGGTAACCTTGGGTGCACTTGATAGTGTCAATCTACTAAGCCACGTTGCTCTTTGCACGTCCTCTTTTTTTCATTGATAAAGAGACCAGGCTCCTTCTTCGAATGACTTCCCATGTGTCTGTGTGGAGGGGTGGGAGAAGAAGGAGGGGGGGAGTGCAGTGGCGTGAGTCGACCTGCAAAAGTATGGGAACTTTACAGGGTATGGCAAAAAAAGACCAACGACTTTCAACCTAAATATCTCCCCTCCCAAAGAGTTATTTTCGTGAAGTTTTCACATTGCATATATGAGTGTTTCCGATTTATCTCGGAAATGACGTCTCATATTTCCTCGTTCCATTTTGATGTGACAGAATTAGTTTTTCTGACTCGCGTTTGGATTTAGGCCAAGAAGGCCAACAGTGCTTCATTAATTCCGCCATAAGTCGCCTATGCCTAAAATTCAACAGGCATGTTCCCCGAAGTTCCAGTGTTAGAGTAAATAAATCTGATTTGGTGATGATACTCTTGATTCACGTTTCCCTCAGGAGGACAGAAAGCATCGTTGAGAAAACGTCCACCTGTTACTCTAAAGGAGTGCAGAGGCTCCTCTGCCTTCAGGATTTTTAAACAAGAGTCAATAAATTTAAATCTCAGTCAGATAAAAAGTGAAAGAAAGGAAAATGTGTAATCGTTCAGAGGTCTACAGATGAACAGGGTACGCACATACAGGGTGTTCCGAAAGTTTCTGACCCTCTAAAATTAAGATGGAGACGAGATTTAACCATTCCCATGGTAGCGTCTCCATTTGGAGACACTATGTGAAATTAATTCAAAGCTTGTAGCAGCATGTGCAGCAAAGATTTGAGGGGAAACAGAAGCCCAATTGAAAGAATGAACTGTCATCCAGTCTGGGATATAGCAAAGAGCTTCAGTTACAAGCAAGTTTTGGCTTTAGTTCAGTGCATCTCTGACCACTCTCATATTAATTTGCCATGGAGAGGGTTAAAGGGAATATATTCCCTTTATAATTACATTCCACATGGCCAAAAATACCATAGAGACCAACTCCTTCATGAATATTTGATATGACTTCCGTGGACCTTTAGGAACCTCGGATCAGCGTTCCGAAGCTCTCAACCAACAGACGAATGGCACTCGTCGCGCTGGTTTCTCACTCCAGTTAGAACCCTGGTAACGACTGACGCTCGATTTATGGGGTGGGGTTGACGCAGAGCACTGTTGGAACCTGTGTCATGGGTGTTCCTGGTGTCGAGGTCCGAACAGTTCCTTGGTAACCTCTTCCAGACCTGTACCTTAGTCTCTTCGATGGCACGGAACGCGAAGACAGCCGTGTGCCATGGGGTTCCGTCCTGCTTCAGCACATCTTTTTCTTGATCTAAGATCACTCGGATCTTTATGTAGCTCATGCATATAAGGAGAATGTTTCAAAGTGGCTGGCTTACCATTTAGCCATATTTTGTGTGGGTGGGTCAGAAACTGCTAATCAATTCAATAATTGCTAATAGTATTGCTTCGGCCCTCCAAAAATGTCATGACATTTTAAAAATCAGTTTGAAACATACTTATGTACATATGGTAAATGTTTCGCAAAAATAGCTCCAGTATGAGCGAAATTATCAAAAGTCGTTAGTTTTTTTGTCATACCTTGTGTATGGTCATTTCGAATTCAATAACAAGGGAACGCCGTTTCCACTAGCTTTCTTCACTGGGTGGGTGGGAGTGACAGCAAACCTCGAGTAGTAGAGTGTAGCTGCTTCTAACTTGACAAACTTTTTACCATACTTCACAAATGGTGAAAACGTGACACCTATTGGCATCCTAAAACTTCTTTTTGCATCGAATTTAAGTTTTAAAAAAAAACTTAATTACAATTGAGAAAAGAGTGATAGGTCGGCATATGGAGTTGTCATTTTACAGTAGCCTTGCTGTGGCACACCGTCCCCTCTTCTATTTTCCCCTTTTTCCTCATAAGCACGCTTTCACCGTCAGAAAGGTGCACCGTGGGAAGCTCGCCCCTGGGCTCCGCTTCCCCCGTCATATATTTTTTCTACTTCTCTTTTCTTCTCTTTTTTACTTCTCATATATTTTTTATCGGGCCCCCCTTTCCTAAAAAGAATGAGGCCACTAGAGAAAGGTCCCTTTCTGTCATTGTGTCTGTGTCTCTTACTTTGGTTGTCCGACAATCACTAAAGAAATATTAGCCTGACCTATGAAAATTGGTATGCACATAAATTTGGACAAGATAGGGTTAAGTTCGTTTTGGACGGATTCATTCGAAAAAAATTATTGTAAATTTCACATTTTTTCTTCCAACAGGAGAGGCACGAGCAATTGTCAGCCTTCCTGGCTCTAGACCTCAAAGCACATGCACATAGCTTAGCTTGAATGAATGTCATGTCAGCGGAACTGTTAGATCTATTCAAGACTTTATGCCTTATGGATCCATTGTTGACAAACGAAGAGAGGGCAGTACATTGCAGAGAAAACAGGGTTTGCTAGCTAAACTCACGTAATATCATATCTAGCAGTGCTGCACGTCGTACTCTCCTCCCAACCTGCAAGCAACATCCTCCTCGTTTCCAACAGTCATCGAAAGGAGGCGTGCTTCTGGACTGGGCTTGCCCATACTTTTTTTTCTCTCCTTGTGTCTGAGTTCTGCTGGCTTCGGAACCCAAGGAGCACAGGAAGGTTAAAATTATTTCTTTGAACGTCCCGTTTACGATTTCGGCTAACGTGCAACGAACGTCCCTGGAACGTTCGAGGTCCTAGATTTTTAACGTTAAAAAAACAACTCAAGCGATGCATTCCGTAGACGTTTATATGAATGAGCGATGAATTTTTCTTGAAAAAATTTTTCTTACTATTCCGCATCTATCGTCTTTATGTCGGTAATAAATAAATGAAAATGTTCTGCCACCATCGACTTCAGTTGATTGAGAAAAATCACATTAAGTCTGCCAATATCCAGGTAACTCGATCTAATTCATCTAACAGTTGTTCTGTCTTGCAACAGATAGTCTCGTCTACAGTGTGATACGGAGTCTAAGTGGATTCTGCGCAGCTGTGCGCTGATTGGCAGTGGACGGAGAGCCGTTGAGTTCGGGAAACAATGCCACGTGCTCCCGTACTCAACAATGGACCGCGAAGGGTTGCCTCGCTTCTCCCTCCTTTATCTCGAAAACGGTCCGGTTTTCGAAAAACCGCATTCAAACAAGATTTGTAGTCCAGAGTCTGCCCTAGCCCGTGGTATAAATATTTTTGGCCGTTTGACCATATTTACGAAGACAAACTTACGCAACTGATAATACCTCTTATCATACGCCTCCCTTTCCATCAGACGCCGTCCTTCTCCCCTACATCTCGACAATAACACGATTGACGAAAAGTCACTTTCTGACAAGATTTGTAATTTCGATTCCATCCTAACCGGTGGTATACATTTTGGAGCGGTGAGGCTTCATTTTACTATAATACTCCCCCCAAATAGGACCGTTTTCGTTTTCGAGAAGCGAGGCAACCCGTCGCGGTCCATTGTTGAGTACGGGAGCACGTGGCATTGTTTCCCGAACTCAACGGCTCTCCGTCCACAGCCAATCAGGAAGCACCAGCGTCGTCTGCTCCTGCGCGAAACTTGAACTCCGTATAATTTATTCACAGATCTTGAAACCCAGAGAATCGATTTTCTCCTTAACAATCTGAAGCATGCCATGAACACACTCAGGTTTCAATCCTTTCCAAAAAAAGGAAGGCATTGAGCAAAATATGCTAAAGTTTCAGAAAAGGGAGATGTGTGGACATAGCTATCTGGGAGGAGTGGGGATATGGGGGTTGCCAAATTTCCTTTACGAACATCACAAATTCGATTTATCATTACCTAGAATAACAGACAGCTCATGAACATCGTCACCCTTGGAGCCTTAGGCTGTGTACAGCCTGCACAAGGATTGATATTGAGAATGGTGCAAATTTCACGTTTCTGCGACCGAGGGTTGGGGAGATGGAGATTTTCAAAGAGAAGCATGCAAATTTCGACCTTTGACCACAGATCATGGCCCTGGGGTTGACCTGAGAGAGCCAGCAATCGGCCCTTTCTTGAGGTCCCTTTCAACAATTGTAGAGCAGAATTTTGATCCAGGGGGGTCGTTTTTTATGTTTCTGTAGTACATTAAAGCTATATATTTTTGTATTTTTGTTTTGCATTGTTTTTTTTTTTTGACTATCCTAGTTGCTTACCGTCTAGTACCTAACGTCTACATTGCCCCCCACCTTTTTGCCTGTCCATGAAATCATCTAGTTTCTTCTTAAAGATAGTCACTGAAGGGCAGCCACTACTTCGTCATCTAACGCATTCCACGCGTTCACCACCCTACAAGTAAAGAATTCCTGTCTCGACATGAGCCGCACCTGCGGTTTGCGAAATTTAAGTAGGTTACCTCTCGTTCTCTTGCTGCCATCAAACTGGAAAAACCTACCAAACTCGACATTATCTATTCCTTTAATTATCTTGAAATCCTGGATGAGATCGCCCCTCCTTAACCTTCGTTCGAACGAGTACAGTCCCAACACTTCTAAACGCTTCTCGTATGATAGTCCCCTGACCTCCTTAATCATTCTTGTGGCCCTCCTCTGTACTCCCTCAAACGCCAACTTCTTTTTTAGGGTCACGAAGACTTCTGGAGTCCAGACATGGGTTTCTCTTTTTTTCGAGCTTAATATTACATGTATATTCATTATCCACTTCAATTTCACCATTGAGACTCCGTGTTGGACGTACGAGATCGAAAAAACTATGTGAACTTCTCGCAGCTATAGGCCAGGCTAGGGTAATACACAATGCCCTCATATGCGTATCTGCGATTTCTCGATGAATGGTGAATTTCAAAACTTAACGCACCCATGCCAAAACCGTACGAACTGTTTTCGAGATTCGATTTCCGCTCTCCAAAAGTCGAAGCAGAACGTCCTGCAATCAATTTCTAACGTACCTGGAGTCAAAACTTAAGACACCTTCGGCAAAACTCTCTTGACGGTCCATTACTCTGAATGGGAAAGCGAAGAGTCTCTTGGATCGATGCCCGCCCTGTCAGCCGTATCTGGTCAAATCGACCAGAACCTTCCCAATGTCAAACAATGGAGTGTACGTTACTTTTTGAGGCAAGGACGTTAAGTTTTGACACGTGTCAAAAGGACTCTAAATGACACCAGCAATGTGTTCTATTGGAAAATATGTTTTGGTGAAGGACGTTTGGCACGTATGCCATATGACAATTTGCAATATAATAGATGGCGTTATATCTGGCCGATGATGTGCTCGTGCTGATACACTGTCGTCGTTTCTCCGTGATATTTGTTCATAAAATATGTTGCGGATCCTACAATGAGGACTTATCCTCTTGTCCTGAACTTCTACTCTGACAATTTAAACAATCTAGGCTAGGTTGTTGGGGGGGATGTGTATACAACAGTGTTCAACCAGGATCAAACTAGCATATACAGGGCTAGTCAAAATGATTGCAGCGGTTTCATGATTTTTTTGTGGCTGTTCTATTATAGGTACGATGATGGGGTTTGGTGTTATAAGACAAGTATCTCTCCATGTTTCGATTGCACTAATTGCAAGCTTCCCGCGGTGGCCGCTAGAGCGCCAGAGAGCAAGCGTACGTTGTTCTCGAGTTTCATTCGACCCAGTTTGCTGTAACTCTAGAGAGCAAGATGGCTGAAAGTGAGAAAGCGTACGTTGTTCTCGAGTTTCATTCGACTCAGTCTGCGGTAACTGTTCAGCGACACTTTAGAACAAAGTTCAACAAGGATCCACCGCATGCTAACACCATTCGGCGTTGGTATCGGCAGTTTAAAGCCACGGGATGCCTTTGTAAAGGTAAATCAATGGGTCGCCCTCCTGTCTCTGAAGAAACAGTTGAACGTGTGCGCACCAGTTACGTTCGTAGCCCGCAGAAGTCTACTCCTCGAGCGAGCAGGGAATTAACTATTCCACAGAAGACCGTTTGGAGAATCCTACGGAAGCGACTGGGTATGAAGCCTTACCGCTTACAGTTGCTACAAGCACTGTCGGACAATGACGAAGTGCGTCGTTTTCAATTTTGTGCCAAATTTCTAGAACATATGGAAGATGAAACATTCGCAGAAAAACTTGTGTTTAGTGATGAGGCCACTTTTCATGTGAGTGGAAAAGTGAACAGGCACAATGTGCGCATTTGGGGGACCAAAAACCCCCGTGCCTATGTGCAGCACGTTCGTGACTCTCCCAAAGTGAACGTGTTTTGTGCGATCTCACGAAATAAAATTTATGGTCCTTATTTCTTTAATGAGGCAACGATCACAGGGCAAATCTATCTGCAAATGTTGGAGAATTGGCTCATGCCACAACTGGAAGCCGACAGTGAAG